TGTTATCCTAGGCTGGCCCCCTTGCGCATCTAGTCTGGGACAGCTCCAGGCGGCTGCGGCTTGGGAAGGAGCCTCGGTGCTCTGGCCCTTGCACACTCCCAGCCTTCTTGTGGCAGTGAGTTCCAGAGTCCCAGCCTCCCACTGAGCTGAGTCTTGTCTAGGTGGCGCTCAGAGGCAGCCTGGCGCTCCGGGAAGAAGCAGCAGGTCTGGTGGGTGGTTAGAGGGGAGAGTGCGCACCAGACACTGACTGTGTGTGTGTTGCAGAGAGTCCAGGGGCCTCTTCCTCACGGCCAGCCCAACCCACTTTGCTGCAACTCAGGAACTTGAGCTCCCCCCCCATTAACTGCTTGCAGGGGGGAGGGGGAGGGGGGCTCGGGTTTCCCCCTCCCTGCAGTTTGGAGCCTGCGGCCATTAGCAGTGCCCAGAGCATGACCAGGGAGGGGGCGATATCAAAGCGCTTCCACGCCTCTCGTCTCCTCCACCATCCCTCCCTCCATTAGTCATGTTCCATAAAAGCTGCTTTCTCCTGCAGAGTAAAAGGTCTCAGGGAAGAATTCTCAACTGTGCTGGGAATGAAAAGCGGGGGGACTCCTGGGCACGTGCAGAGTGCATTTCCTTCACCACCACAGCAATAAAAGCAATGGCAACAAAGGGTGTGTGTGTGTCAAAATTCAACATGGGCTTGGAGGGTCCCTCCGACCACCTTAAAGAAGCTGGATGAATTCTGATGGGAAGCTGCTTCTTGGTTCCTTAATGTCAGCTGGGCAACCCCTTCCCCAACTCCTAAGAAAGGCCAAGTTGGTTTCTGGACTCTGGGAGGGGCTGTGGGAAGAGGACCTCTTCCCCACCTCCATCCCTCCCCTTCTTGGCTCTCCACCTCATCAAGGAAATGGGCGCAGCGAAAGTGAAACTTTGGAACTCGCTGCCACCAAGTTGGACGGCTTCAAGAGAGAACTGGACAAATTCATGGAGGAGACTCTAAATTAAAGTTTCTAGCCAGGACGGCTCTGCTCTCCCTCCAGAGTCAGAGGCAGCAAGGCTACTGGAAAGCCCAGGAGGAGAGACTGCTGGCTGCTTGTTCTGGGTTCCCTTTGGGGGCATCGGGACTAGATGGGCCATGGGCCTGATCCAGCCGCCAGGCTCTCCTGATGTTCTTCGTTTCTCCACTCAGATGTGGAGCACCCCAATAGTTGGTGTAAACAATGGAGGGGGGCGAAGAGAAACTCTGGAAGCCCCTCACAGGCTGACAAACCCCCCCAGGCCTGGCCCAAAGGCTTAACGTCTGGAGAATTTTTCTTTTTTGGAGCGGATGTTTCGCAATGTCTGTAAAATGGGCACAATGAGGCGGCAGCAGCCTCCCCTTTCAAGGACCCTGCTGCCTTTGCAAGTTCTCATTTTGAGTCGTGGGGATTCGCAAGGGACAGCTGAGCCCATCCTTGCAAGTACTTAGCGCTGGCCCAGGGTCCTGCAGCCTGGTGGTTTTGATCCCTGACCCTCCGACCTGCGTTTCACCAGGTACTTAGCAAGGCCCGGGTCTTCCAAACAGGGGTAGGGGGCGGCGTGACCCCGGCCCATCTCCCTGATGCTGCCAGACGGGTGAGAAATCGCCAACAGCTGGTCTTGGTGGGAAGGGCCAGCCCAGGGTAACCGGATCTCCCCTCTCCCTCCCCGGCTGGGGCGTTTGGGGGGGGGCTCAGGGTCAGCAGCAGCAGCCCTCGCTCAGGGGTTAAGCGCAGGGCAAGAGGAGGGTTAACTACCAGCCAGTGCCCTGTAAATCATTTCACTTGGGGAGGAAACAGCCAGACAAAGCCAAGGCGAGGAGAGACCCAGGAGGCGGCGAGGGTGGCAAAGGCAGAACTCCAGAAGGGGCAGGTTTAGCCTGCAGAAGACGAACGCTACAGCTCTAGGTGGGCCTGGGGGGGCGGAGAAGTGGACCTGCCCCCCAAACGCAGGAGAGCAAGCTGGTGGCATGGAGCTCGAAGAGAACCAAGGGAGTTTCAGAATGTGGAAGGAGAGGCAAACCCAAGACCTCCTTCATCGTTGTCTTCTCGGTGACCTGCTGCCAGGCGGTGGCCTGCTTCTCCTAGAATCCCCTGCAGCCGCCAGAATGGATCAGGCCCACAGCACAAGCCAAGCCCTACTTGGGAGACGCCACCCCTGCACGTTTGGTTCGCAAAGGGGAGCCCAGAACCAGAGGACCGCTGTTCGGACTCCTCTCTCACTATGCTGCTAAGGGTTTATTCAGTTAAACCTGCTAAGCTGTCAAAAAGGGAGAGAGGCTGCCAAAGGGTCAAGGCCGGATCCAGAGGCCGTTCGGCACTTTCGGGTGACAGCAGAGAAGGGGCACGCGAAATCTGCAGGTGACAGAAAGCAGGAATGGGCTGCAAAACACCCAGAGGCATCTACATTTTGCTGGGCTGGGCAGACAGCGGCGGAGTGGAGTTTGGCAAGGACCAACGCCAGGTGGGACCTGCAGGAGAATGGAAAACCTCGTGATGGCGTCGGGAAGGAAGATATTTATGGGTACGCAATAAATTGGCGGTGGGGATACCTCCAGAGAGGCTCTGGGGCTTCAGAAAGGAGAGTTGCTTGTCTCAGCGCAGGGAAAGGCATGGAGTGTGGGCCGTGTGGCGCTGTGGGCAACCTGAGCTGGGCCGACACTAAATCAGCAAAGAGGATGGCAGGCTGAAAAAGCCCCAGAGATGGAAACAAGAAGAAATTCTGATGAATGAAGAACGGCAGACAAAATTAACGGACTATGCAGAATTGGACAAAATGACAGGAAGGATTCGAAACCTGCGGGACCAGAGATTCACAGAAGATTGGAAGAAGTATATGGATTATTTGAAGAGCAACTGTAATCAACAAATTACGCTAGTAGGACAACAAGTTTTGTAAGGAGAAATATACGAAGTGGTTACAAAGTAGGAAAAGAGAGAGATATTGGCTATGAGTTTGAGATGTAATAGGGAAAATAAGAAATGCATACTAAGAGATTAGATTGGAAAATTTTCAGACAGGATGGAAGTAAAAAAAAAATGAATAAGATGTAAAAGTATGTTTAATTACTGTTGAAAATGATATGTTAAAAAACTAATAATAATTTATATACATGAAAATGCCCTGGAGAACAGCAGGAAGGAACTGGGAGACCCCCAGGAAAGACGTGGGGCAGAAAAGGCAGCAGCCACTGAAGCCAAAGGGGGTCTCATCTGCCGAGACCCCAGTTCCACAGAATCACAGGACTGCAGAGTGGGAAGGGACCCCGTGGTCATCTAGTCCAACCCTCAGAAATGCAGGAATCACAACGGAAGGATCCCAGTGAGCCTGTGGAGAAGGCATGGGAAGCGGAAATGGGGAGGGGGCTGCAAGCTGGCAGGGCTTGGCTCCGCGGGATGAAGGCCTCCTGAATAAAAGAACTGGCCATCTGAAGCAGTTGGCCTACGGAACTCCCTCCCACAGGAGGCAAGGATGGCTTTAGAAGAAGATGAAACACCTTTATGTGGGACAGGGCTCCACATCTGGAGGCAGCGATGCTTCTGAACAGCAGGTGCCAGAAACCACAGGAGGGGAGAGGGACCAGGTCTGATCTGCTGCCCCAAGAGCCGGATGGAGCTTAGATCCCGAAAGCTCCCAAATTCAAGGCTGGAGGAGAAGAACCACCACAGCCGGCAGGAATCCTGCCCCCCAGGACTGTGCAATCCCTGAGAAGGGAGGTGGAGCCCCCAGGAGAGGGTGGGCTCTGCCAGTGTCCATTTGAGGGCCCCCTGGACCACAGAGATGGCCAAGAGAGGCGCTGAAGGCTGGAGCCTGAACCCCGGAGACCTCGCTCCTCCTCCTCCTCAAATCTTTCTCTTCCCACCGTAACTGGAAAACGACTCCCGCCAGGGGAAGGCCAGCATGGCAGAGCGGTTCGTGTTGGGCCAGGACCCGGAAGGGACTCGGGTTCAAATCCTCCCGGCCATGAAGCTCACTGGGCATCACCTTGGGGGCCAGTCCCTGCTGCCTCGGCCTGGCCCCCCTCGCAGGACGGCTGTGGGGATGAAAAGAGGGGAGCCCTGGGAGGGAAGGCTGGGATATAAACGCAATGAGTAAATGAAGAGGGACAGGCTTACTCCAGAGGAAGACCTCTTCGAAAACGCTGCAGGGCCAAGAGGAATTGGCGATGGAGTCGGCATGGAGGGAGGGGATGGCGCCCCCCCACTTTGAGGGCCGGCTCCAGCTGTGGGCCTGAGGCCAGAGCTCAGGGGCACCTGTTACGTTTCCAGGAATCAAAGAGGGCAGGCGGGGGGGGGGGCTGGTTCACAGCCCAGGCTGCATGTGCACAAATGGCCCCCTCCCCAGAAATCCCAAGGACTCCAGGCGGGGATCTTGCTACACGCCCTCCCCCCTCCCGTTTTCTGACAGCTGCCCAGATGGCCACCCCCACTGGCCGCAACAACAGCTCCTAATTGGCTGCGAGCCAGGGGGGGCGCCCGTCTCCCCCCCCCCAAGCAATCAGGAGCTCATGACTGCATTATCGCCCATTATCTCTGGCGGAGGGAGAAGGGGGGGGGGCTGGAATGGGGATCATTATTTGCTCATCACTCCTCATTGGAATCCTGACACCCAAAAGGGGGGGGCGGAGAGGAGTGGGGGGGGCTGACGGAGATTAATCTCCCCAGCCAGCGCAGCAACTGCCGCTTGGTAAACGCGCCTGAGCTGGCGGTGCATTAAATCACTGCACAGGAATGGGGGTGGGCTGGGCTCCCTCCTCCCTCCTCCCTCCCTGCAGGGATTCCAACCTCAAGCCCCCCCCCCACAAAGGCTGAAAACGGGAGCATCGCTGCCACCCACTGGCTGATCTGAGAACTGCCACTTCTCTGAGTGGCGCTAGGAGACCCCCCCTTCCTGCCCAATTCCCACTGTTGGGGGGGGCAGATGAGGACAACATGAGAATATTATTTCCTGCTCTCCCAGGAAAACACTGCTCAGCTCTGGCAGGAGGGACCAAAGGGGCGTGCGGTTTTTCAGCTCTTTTATTCCAAAAAATAGACTCGTATCGAAGAGAAGGCAGGGCTTAAGTTAAAAGGCGGGAGGGAGGGCAGGCGGGGGGGCAGGTGGGGGGGCGATGCTGGGGCTGCAGCCCGTCCGACGGCCCCCCTACCTCCTCTTCTCCTTCACGCTGTAGTTGAGCAGCAGAGGCGCCGGCTGCAAAGGGAAGAGAGGGTGAGTGTCTCTGATTTTCCAGGGAGAGGGGGGTCACCCCCACAACCCACCCCCCCAGGCCCCAGGTACCTTGCCAAACCAGCGAGAAAGCCAGAGCTGCTTCAGGGTCATGTGGTCGGGGAGCACCTCGTTGTTGAAGAGGATCTGCACCTGGAGGGGGCGGAGTCCCGTCAGCACCTGCCAGGTGGACCCCCGGCTGCCTCCCCACACCTGAGCGCGGGGCTCGCCTTCCCGTTTCCTCGGAGGGAGACCACTTGCCCACCCATCCACCCCAGGGGCTGTCAACCTTTTTCGCATTTCAGATTTTGAGAGGGTGCTGGGGGGGGGCAGTCACAAAGCAGCTGCCGTGGGGGGTGGCCCCACACTAAATCAAGAGAGCCACCCCCCGGCCACCTTCTGCTGTGTGCTGCTTGCAGAGACCAGGCAATGCTGATTTCAGAATCTTGGGGTTCCAGAGCTGAAAGGGACCCAAAGGGTCATCCAGCCCAACCCTCAGCCACATATTTCCTGACCCCCGGCTGCTGCCTCCTAACAGCCACAGGGAGCAATTCCTCAGTGTTTGGGGAGGGGAATGCAATGGGGTCACACCCCACATCTCACATAAATCACTTAGGGGGTTCCTGAACCTTTAGCCCCAGAACGGTCTTCCAAGGAAGACGAGAAGTTGACCGTTTTTTGGTGGTCCTGTAGAAAAGTAAAAGACTTCTGGGAAATGATATATAATGAATTGAAAAAGAGGTTTATGATACCTTTCCCCCCAAAAAACCAGAGGCCTTTTTACTTGGATTAACAGGGGAGGGAAGAGCTAGGGACCTAAAAAGGTTATTTATGTATGCGGCAACAGCCACAAGGATGTTGCCGGCCCAGAATTGGAAACAGGAGAAGATAAAGTGGTGCCCCGCAAGACGAATGCCTTGCAAGACGAAAAACTCGCTAGACGAAAGAGTTTTCCGTTTTTTGAGTTGTTCCGCAAGACGAATTTCCCTATGGGCTTGCTTGGCAAGACGAAACGACTTGCGAGTTCTTGCGAGTTTGTTTCCTTTTTCTTAAAGCCGCTAAGCCGTTAATAGCCGTGCTTCGCAAGACGAAAAAACCACAAGACGAAGAGACTCACGGAACGGATTAATTTCGTCTTGCAAGGCACCACTGTACCAACAAAAGAAGAATGGATAATTAAGAGGAGGGACTATGCTGAAATGGCAAAAATGACTGCGAGGATCACGAGATCAGGATGAGAAATTTTTTGAGGAGGAATGGAAGAGATTTATAGATTATTTTGAAGGCCGCTGTAAATATATTAAAACGTTAGCAGGCTTGATGTAACATTCATGTAAGCAAATAACTGGAAATTAAGAGGGAAAAACAAAGAATTTGGAGATAAAATGAGATTTAAATTTTGTGGGAAAAGATTGGAATCCAGGGGAGGGGTGGGAGGAAATCTATATTGTTCGTTGTTGTTTTGTGATTGATTGGAAAAGCATTGAATTTATGAATTATTGTGATTATAAAATTTGAAAATAAAATTTATTTATTTTTTAAAGAGAGAGGTTGACCGTTTTTTTTGGGGGGGGGGGTGAAGCTCAGCGTTGGAGCACCTGCCCAGGATCAGCAACAAAGGTCTTTGCAGCCTGCAGGAGTCAGACTGGCAACCCCTCCCCAACCCTTACTCACGTGTTGTAGCGGCAGCTCTAATCGGCAGCACAGAACCCGGCGGAGGTGGCGGACCTGGGCCCGTACCGAGCAGCGAACGTATTTGTGCTGGGGGAGGGAAGGAAAATTGAGATGGGGGTGAAGGGAGAGGCAGCTGGAAAGGACAGAGGGAGCCCCCTCCTCTCCACCGCGGGGGTGTTTTCTCTCACCCCCCCCCAGGTCTCCATCTCAAGGAATGGCAGAGACGGTGCCAAGAGGAGGGAGGGCATGTGCGAGTGCCCGGGTGGGGAGCCCCCCCCCATGCTCTGGCCGTCAGCTGCCAGCCTCTCACTGCAGGGTCACGGGGGGGGGGGCGCGCTGAGGGCAGGGCCATCTTTACCTGGGGGTGCAAGGGGTGCGGTGCACCCGGGCGCCAAATTCTGGGGAGCATGCCAAATATATACCAGTCCCTCTCGATTGGCAGCAGGGAAAAGCATTACAGCGAAAGTGTCCCCCCCCCATTAATCCGTAGCGTCAAATATTCCCAATGAGTCAGGAAACAAAAGCAGTCATTTCCGCTGTGTCGTCGCTACAGGTGAGTGATTTTCCTGCCCCCCAAAAGTCAACAACTTTGAGTTCTCCCCCCCTAAAAAAAATCTGGGGGCGGCTAAAGTAAATCTGAGGGCGCCAGGTGGATCTTTGCACCCCGTGGTGCATATGCCGAAGACGGCCTTGGCTGAGGGGGAGATGGGAGAGTCGGAGTGGGGCTGGGCGGCCAGAGGTCAGAGGGGGCTCTTCTCCCACCTGGCCAGGTCTCCAGGCCCCTTTGTGCCGCAGTCAGAGCCCCCCCCCCCCCACGTCCCGGCCTCCTCACCTGCAGGATGTGCTTGTTCTTCTCTTTCCCGGAACTGCGGAAGGAAAGAAAGAAAGAAATGGAATGAGAGCCACGCCAGCAAGCCCCCTCCATGCTCTCTGCCCCACCAGGGGGTGCGCAAAGGGGGCGACACACAAGACCCCTTCCTCCTCCCCACGGGAAGTGGGGAAGAGAGAGGAAACCATACTGAGGGCAGGAGCTGCCGCCCTCCTTTCCTGACCAACCCCTGCGTTGCAAAAGAGAACGCCAACCATGTTTGGGCAACACGATGACCAAATACCTACGTAATAGACAATCTTTATAGAATTCTTTCAAACAATAACAAGTTCAAAATGAAATCTTAGTCTCAAAGCTCTGAAAATCTTTAAATGAAGCGAGGTACCAAACTTTGATGAAAGATCAGCAGTGAAGCTATGTGCATTCAGCAAATATAATGTCCAACCCTGAACAGAGATTCCGGATATTGACTGCTGTTTCGTAGATCTTCGTCAGCGTGGTGGGAGGATACGGAATTGTTTCGTGTGATAATGCAGTCACTGTAATGATGTCGTCACATGAGCACTGCTCCACAGCAGTTGATATTTTCACTCACATATATTCATTCAAAATAAGATGGGTTTGTGGAACAATTCTATATTCTTTCAGAGACTTTGAGTCTTAAGATTTCATTTTGAAATTATTATTGTTTGAAATAATTCTATAAAGATTGTCTATTACATAGGTATATGGTCATGGTGTTGCCCAAACATTTTTGACGCCCTCCTTTCCTGGGCGCACCCCCCCCGACTGGAGAAGAGCCCAGCCTTTTCCCAAGGGGCCCGGCTCTTGCTCTGCCCCCCCCCAGAAAGACCGGCGCCTCCTTGCCTTGGTTGTGGCGGAAGCGCCAGAGTGCCTCATAGTGCTACGCTGTGGCACCGCAGCCTGCCCTGCAGGAGGGAGAGGGAAGAGTCCCCCCCCACTGGCAGGAGACTTGTGGGGCGCTGGGGGCTCACCTCTAGAGGGGCACAAGAAGCCAGGAGCTGGGAAGACCCACCGCCCACCTCTTGCAACCCCACCCAGTGGGAAAGCGCCCCCCCAGCAGCCACAAGAGCCTTGAGCTGAAGACCAGGCAGGGCTGGGGGGTGCATGCCCACTCGGCCGGGAGGCTCACTGGACGGCTGCCCTTCAAAGGATGCCAAGAGGCAGGTGGCAAACTCCCCCTTGCAGCCCAGAGCCCCCCCCCCAGCCACGGAGGGGCCTGTGGAGTCGGCAACTCTGGGTAACTCAAGCAAGCGAGTCAAGCCACGCACTGCAGGGAAGGCAAACTTTCACTGCCCCCCCCCCAATCCTGCTGCCTCAAGTTTCCCTGGGACCCTGCAGGCCAGTCCAGTGCTATGTCCAGGGCCGGATTGAGGTTGGATGAGGCCCTCAGCTCCTGAAGGTAACGGGGCCGTTTATATGTCCAGCTGTCCTTTGTCCAACAACAAATTGTCGCTGTTTTTTGTGTTGAATACCGTATTTTTCACTCCATAAGACGCACCTGACCATAAGAGGCACCTAGTTTTTAGAGGGGGAATGCAAGAAAAAAAATATTTTTAAAGGGAGCGCTGAGCAGAGCCTGTATGCATCCCAGGCTCTGCTCAGCGCTCCCTTTCACGAGCTGCGTGGAATGTATGCGCATGCTTGCAGGCTTTTCCCCAGGAGGGCAGCCTGTCACTGATGGGGGGGGGGGAGTCCCCAAGAGCCGCGTGGAGCGTGTGTGCGGCTCTTGGGGGCCTTTCCTGCCTGCCTCCCGCCTGCATTCGCTCCATAAGACGCACACACATTTCCCCTAACTTTTTAGGAGGGGAAAAGTGTGTCTTATGGAGTGAAAAATACGGTAGATGCTATATGGTCATTGATGGATGTATCTCAAGCCATTTGCACATTACAAAATATGTATTTTATCAAAGTAATTGTTATATTAACAGTGAAATACAATTAAGAAGTATATTAATAGTGAAATAATTATTAAGCTCTAACTTAAAAATATTTTTTTCATTTTAAGGAGCAGGCTAGCAGGAGGGGCCCATGACTTACATCACAGGAGCCTACCAAACACAAAACACTGTTGCTGTGTGTAGGTTTTATTTTATTTGTTTTACATCTTATATTTTGGAAATGTACATCCAGGTTTTTTTCCTTTAAATTTTTGGGGGGCCCCAAAAAGAGAGTAGGGCCCTAAGCTTTGGCTTGTTTAGCTTATACGTAAATCTGGCACTGGCTGTGTCCCTGAGACCCCCTCCTGCCGCTGCCCCACAGACACTGCCTGGAGGTGCAAAGGCACAGTTCTGGCCCCCCCCGGTCTGCCTGTGAGAGCCCCCCCCTTGACCACATCCCACCCCCACCCCCCCGTCGCCATCCTCACCTCTGTTTCTCCAGGCACAGCAAGACGTGCTCGTCGAAGCGGTAATAATGGGCCCGCGAGTGGTCAAAGGTGGTGTAGGGCAGGCCCACGCGGTCAGAGGCCGAGTCTGGGGGGGGGGAGGAAGAAGTCAGGACCCCTGCGCCCCCTCCCTTTCCGCAGAGGAGGCCTGGCAACCCACCCCTCCTCCACCTGCCCCCCACCCCCCAATTCAGGCTCCTTTGCTCAGTTCCCTGCTGGTGCAGGACAGGGGGGGGGTCAAAAAGAAAGCGCCCCCACCTTCGTTGCTGGGTTGGCTGACGCGCTCCAGGCCGCGGGATTGGTAGAACTCACGGATCCTCTTCTCCTCGCCTGTGGGGGGGGGGAGAGGGGGGCAGAAGAGAGCTGGCTGTCGCTGGAGTCAGGGGGCAAATCCCGGCCAGCTTGCACTGACCCTCCAAAAGGTGGGAGAAGGATGGGGGGGCTTGTCTCTTTCCTATGCTCAGGTAGAGGCCCCTCCCAGGGTGGAGCCCCCCTGCAAGCGGAGGTTTGTGGCCCTCCCGGCCTGGCCCCCCAAGGCACCAGGGGCAGCAGGCAATGCCCCTCCTCGCCTTAGAGGCTGCTGCCCTGACGCCTGCCCTGGGGGGGCCCAGAGGAGGCCGGAGGGCCCCCCCGCTCCCTCCCCGCACTTACTCTCCTGCAGGCCCGGCACCAGCTTGTAGACGATGTCCTGCATGACGCGGTCTAGCTTGAGGTTGAGCAGGGGCTGCGTCTCGTGGATCTTGGTGCTGCACATGGGGCAGTACTTGCTGGTCTGCAGGTACTTCACGATGCAGCTCTTGCAGACTGGGAGAGGGGGGGGCGCCATGAGCCTCGGTCCAGTATATCTGAAGGAGCGTCTCCACCCCCATCGTTCAGCCCAGACACAGGTCCAGCACCGAGGGCCTTCTGGTGGTTCCCTCATTGCAAGAAGCCAAGTTACAGGGAACCAGGCAGAGGGCCTTCTTGGTAGTGGCTCCCGTCCTGTGGAACGCCCTCCCACCAGATGTCAAAGAGAAGAACAACTACCAGACTTTTAGAAGACATCTGAAGGCAGCCCTCTTTAGGGAAGCTTTTAATGTTTAACAGGCAACTGTATTTTAATACTTTGTTGGAAGCCGCCCAGAGTGGCTGGGGAAGCCCAGCCAGATGAGCGGGGTATAAAGAATAAATTATTATTATTATTATTATTATTATTATTATTATTATTACTATTACTATTACTATTATTATTACTGGGAGGGGGTCCCACCGGGGCAACGCTCCAAAAGGCGGCCTGCCCATACTCCGCACAGAGCCCCTTTCCCTCTCGGCCACAGGAATGACCAGGAGAGGAAACCCCATTGATCTTTCAGCTTCAGAGGTTCCCAAACTTTTCCGGGCCCCCCCCCGAGCCGGGTGATCTTGCGCCCCTGGCAGAACTGTCCAGATTGCGCCCCCCCCCAGCCACGGTCAAATAAGCTCTTCTTTCCATCTCTCCCCCAACCCCCCCCCTCCACCCTTTCAATTCACCCTCTACTTAAAACCATTTCTAATGAGGCAACGATCAATATTTATATTTGTGGACATACTTTTAGCCAATTTTGCACCCCCGCCCATCGGATGCGGCCCTGGCGGGGGCCCGCCTCACCACCCACCAGCCACGGCCCTGCCCCTCTCCCTTGATTCCACAGGCTCATCCCAGTGCCCCCTACCCTATGAAAAGTGTCTTTCCAAACAGCGGTTTGCAAGACCCACCAAACAAGATAATACAGTAAAACCCAAAACGGTTACAATTAGTTGAACGTTTCTTCAAAATCCAGCTGAAGCTATTTAAATTAATTCAGTGAAACTGATGAATGTGTGGACCAGTGATACCAGTCTGACAGTTATTTAAACCCCCAGCACCTCCCCCCCCCGGTTGCCTCCTCATCTCTTAGCACCCCCCCCCCAGCACCTGAGGGTGCTCCCACCTACTTTGGGAACCACTGGCCTCACCCTCGGATGGCTGTTAACCAGAAGGTTGGGGGTCTGAGCCCCCCCAGGGATGGCGCTTGGGCCAGACGACCCTCGGGGTCCCTTCTGCTCTGGAAGGGAATCCCCCCCCTTCCTGCTTGTGCATGTCAGACACGCCCCCCCCAATCTCTGCTTTCCAGCGTTTCCCTCCAGGCAAGGAGGGGGAGCACCCCTTTCGCGGTTTCCGTGTGAGAGGAGGAGTTTGGGGTGGGGCGATTTTAACTTCAGAGCAACCACCTCCACCTGCACTGCCTCCCCCCCCATTGCTCTGGCTCCCCTACTCCTGGCATGTGGCCCCTGGCAGATTTCCTCCCAAGGGAAGGTGGCCCTCATCGGCAAAAGGCTGCTCCTTCTGGTCTGCCCCGCGGAGGACCTTAAGGTCCACAAATGACAAAAAGCCGCAAGGTGGTTAGATTGGTCTCAACTAGGGCCAGGGCCTTTTCAGCACTGGCCCCGACTTGGTGGAACGCTCTGTCTCATGAGACCAGGGCCCTGTGGGATTTGACATCTTTCCGCAGGGCCTGCAAGACAGAGCTGTTCTGCCTGGCCTTTGGTTTGGACTCAGTCTGACCCTTCTGTTTCACTCCCCTTATGGTGGGCAGGGTATAAATAACATTTATTATTATTTATTACTAACACACCTCTCTTTCGTCAGGAACATGTCTCCGCCCCCCCCCCCGGTCCTCCCTCCCCGCTTTTCCTGGTGCTACTCACAGGTGTGCAGGCATTCGGTGATGGTCGTGGCATCGATGAAGTATCCGGCGCAAAGGAAGCAGACAATGTGCTCGTTCAGCTCCTTCATCTTCACCCTCACCTCCTCCTGGGGAGGAGTTAGACCATAGTTAGACCATGGGTGGGCAAACTAAGGCCCGGGGGCCGGATCCAGCCCAATCTCCTTCTCAATCCGGCCTGAGGACGGTGTGTTTTTACATGAGCAGAACGTGTCCTTTTATTTAAAATGCATCTCTGGGTTATTTGTGGGGCAGCCCCCTCCATTGCCAGCCCAATGCCCACTGCTCAAAGCCTTAGCCCCCCTTTGAAAGACGGGTCCCAGGGGGCCCCCACCAGCCTGCTGGAGGGACAGCTTGACCCACCCCCCTGTCCCTGTGCCCAAGTCCAGATCTAAAAGGCCCGAGTTCAAAACCCGCCTCTGCCATGGCCTCTTTTTCTAGTCTTGGTCCAATCTCCCTCTCTACTTTAGACACCCCCCCCACCACAGAACAAGCCTCCCCAAATGAAGACGGGCTCCGTGAACATCCCTTTGCCCCTGCGGATCATGTCCCATCTCAATTCCTGGGCCAGCCTTCCTGGGCCTCGGTTTTCCGCATCTCCTCTGAATAATCGGTTGACTTGATGCCGTTCCCAGAATGTCTGTTCTTGTGCCCTTATGCCCATTTAAACCGTCCCCACATCAGGCAGGGTGTCCTCATCTCCCAGGGAGACCCAAAGGGGTAGGATCCGAGCACAAGAGCAGCCCTCTCCCCTCAAAGGTGGTGGCCATGACTGCCTCTTGTGGCAGTGAGTTCCACCGTTTAACTATGTGCTGTGGAAAGACGGACTTTCTTCCTCTGACTTACGAGAGAGGGAGGGATGCCTGGCGACAGGTGAGCAGTTTGCCTGCCTTTGCCATGAGAGGCTTCTAGCGCCCAGTTCTCCCTCCAGTGGGCGCCTGGCTCAACAAACTACAACTCCCATCATTCCTGGCCATTGGCTGGGCTGGCTTGAAGTTGTAGTTCTGCAACACCTGGAGGCCAAAGATTCCTCCCAGCCGGCTCTGAAATCAAGAGCTGCCCTTTGGCCAGGAAATGGCCTGAGGTGAGTCTCAGTTTGCCTGCCTGAGAAATGGGGCCAGCGACAACTTGCTCTTCTCAGGACAAAGTCTTGCGGCACCTGAAAGACCAGCACGTTTTGTCCATAAATGTCACTTCGTCCGGCAGCCCCTGAAGATGCCAGGGCAGTGCAATGGTTAAGCGTTGGACTGGGAATTGGGAGACCCGGGTTCGAGTCCCCCCTCAACCAAGAAACTCACTTGTGGTAAAATGGAGGAGGGGAGAACCAAGAGCTCCTTGTGGGGAAGGGGGCATTTACAAACAGGAAACAAAATGAAATATCTGTAGGAAGCGAATCTGTCTGTGGCTAATCTGCCACAAGACTCTTTTTACGGCATCCAACCCATAATGCCACACTTTGAGGTGACCAGGAAGGTGGCACGCTTTGGGTGCTGAGGCAGGACCAGATTTAGATTTAATGAGGCCCTCAACTACTGAAGGTAACGGGGCCCTTTCTATGTCCAGCTGTCCTTTGTCAGCAACAAATTGTCACTGTTTTTTGTGTTGAATAGATGCTGTATGGTAATTTATGGACCTCATAGGCATCTCAAGCCATTTGCACAGCATCTTAAAAAGCAGAGACATCACCTTGCAAAAAAGGTCCGTATAGTTAAAGCCATGGTTTTCCCAGTTGTGATGTATGGAAGGGAGAGCTGGACCATCAAGAAGGCTGATCTCCGAAGAATGGATGCTTTTGAATTCTGGTGCTGGAGAAGACTCTTGAGAGTCCCATGGACTGCGAGAAGATCAAACCTCTCCATTCTGAAGGAAATCAGCCCTGAGTGCTCACTGGAAGGACAGATCCTGAAGCTGAGGCTCCAAGACTTTGGCCACCTCATGAGAAGAGAAGACTCCCTGGAGAAGACACTGATGCTGGGAAAGATGGAGGGCGCAAGGAGAAGGGGACGACAGAGGGCGAGATGGTGGGACAGTGTTCTTGAAGCTACCAGCATGAGGGAGGCACTGGAAGACAGGAGGGCCTGGCGTGCTCTGGTCCAGGGGGTCACGAAGAGGCGGACATGACTAAAGGACTCAACAACAACAAAACCATACAACCAGTCCATGCCGAATGCCAGTGCCCTATATATAGAAAGGAACAAACCAGTGATATTTTAGGGAGCAGGCTAGCAGGCAGGGCCCAGGACTTACACCACAGGAGCCTACATAACACAAAACACTGTTGCTGTAGGTAGGTTTTATTTCATTTATTTTTTATCTTATATTTTGGAAATGGACATCCAGGTTTTTTCCCCATTAATTTTTGGGGGGCCGCAAGAGAGTGGGCCCCCAAGCTAGAGCTTGTTGAGCTTATACGTAAATCCGGCCCTGGGTGAAGGCAACGTCCTCAGTAACGCAGGCCCCCCGCTTGGTGGTGGCAGGTGGCGCCCGAGAGACGGAAGGGGCCTGCGCAGCAGGGGGCTGGACTAGATGTCCCTCGGGGTTCCCTCCTGTCTCTCCCATGCTGGGATCCTATGACCCCCACAGGAGTGCGGCTCCTGCACCTTTAACAGGGAAGGGACCCCACGGGGTCATCCAGCCCAACCCCAGAACTCCAGCCGGCGCCCTCGACCAATCAGGAGGTCAGAAGGCGAGGGGACTCTCCTTAGCTCCGCCCCTGAGCGCGAGGGGGCGGGGCCACGCCTTTCCCCGCCCCCTCAGCGCACGCAGCCGCGGCTCCCCTGCTGCGCATGCGCCCCGGCCCCCGGCGCCCCCGCGCGGCCCCCGCTTCCCGTCCCGGTCCCGCGGGGGCCTCACCTCGTTGCGGAGCGGGTCCATCTTGTAGACGGCCTGGAGCTGGTTGCGGAGCCGCATCGCGATGGCCATGGGGCCCCCCTGAGGAGGAGACGCCATCTTGGAGCCGCCTCGCCCACTTCCGGGTTGGCCGGGGGCGGGGCCTGTCGCCGCGGCAACGGCTGCCGGCGTCACGCCGAGGGGAGCGCGCGGGGCACGCCGGGAGTTGTAGTTGGCGGCCGGGAGAAAGAAGGGGCGAGTCTCGCCCCGCCCTCGTTAACCCCTCCTGCGCCGGGCGAAGTTCCCGCTCTGGCCACCAGGGGGCAGCAGCAGCAAGGCTCGACGGGGCGGGCGGGCGGGCGGCGCCGGAGGATCCCCGTCGGATCCGCCCGAAGGAGACGCGGATCTCCCTGCCCAGCCTGGAGGAGAGGGGGCGGGGGAGCCCCGAAGGGCCGCCCCGTCGAAGAAGGCCCCAGGTTGTTCCCCGCTGCTCCAGGGGCGAGGCCCGGAAGGAAGGATCCCAACATTCAGTTCCATCTAAATAAATTTAAAAATTGTCCAGTAGCACCTTAAAGGTCAAGGGACCCCTGACCATTAGGTCCAGTCGTGGCCGACTCTGGGGTTGCGGCGCTCATCTCGCTTTACTGACCGAGGGAGCCGATGTACAGCTTCTGGGTCATGTGGCCAGCAGGACTAAGCCCCTTCTGGCGAACCAGAGCAGCGCATGGAAATGCCGTTTACCTTCCCGCCGGAGCAGTACCTATTTATCTACTTGCACTTTGACGTGCTTTCGAACTGCTAGGTGGGCAGGAGGTGGGACCGAGCAACGGGAGCTCACCCCGTCATTGCGGGGATTCGAAACCACCGACCTTCTGACCGGCAAGTCCCAGGCTCTGTGGTTTAACCCCCAGCGCCACCCGCGTCCCTTAGTAGCACCTTAGAGACCAACTAAGTTTGTTCTGGGTATAAGTGAAGAAGTGTGCATGCACACAAAAGCTTATGAGATTAAGAGTAGTAGTAGTAGTAGTAGTAGTAGTAATAATAATAATAATAATATACTAATAATAATAATAATAATAATAATAATAATAATAATAATAAAAATTATTTATACCCCGCCCACCTGGCTGGGTTTCCTCAGCCAGGCGGCTCCCAACCGAATATTTCCTCTGGGCGGCTCCCAACCGAATATTAAACACAATACAGCATTAATCTTTAAAAACTTCCCTAAACAGGGCTGCCTTCAGATGCCTTTTAAAAGTCAGATACTGTAGTTCCTTATTGCCTTTACATCTGATGGGAGGGCGTTCCACAGGGCAGGTGCCACCACCGAGAAGGCCCTCTGCCTGGTTCCCTGTAGCTTTGCTTCTTGCGATGAGGGAACCGCCAGAAGGCCCTCGGAGCTGGACCTCAGTGTCCGGGCAGAACGATGGGGGTGGAGACGCTCCTTCAGGTATCCTGGACCGAGGTTGTTTAGGGCTTTCAAGGTCAACACCTGCACTTTGAATTGTGCTCAGAAACGTACTGGGAGCCAATGCAGATCTCTCAGGACCGGTGTTATGTGGTCCCGGCAGCCACTCCCAGTCACCAGTCTAGCTGCCGCATTCTGGATTAATTGCAGTTTCCGGGTCACTTTCAAAGGTAGTCCCACATAGAGCGCATGGCAGTAGTCCAAGCAGGAGATAACCAGAGCATGCACCACTCTGGAGAGACAGTCTGTGGGCAGGGAGGGTCTCATCCTGCGTACCAGATGGAGCTGGGAAACAGCCACCCTGGACACAGAATTGACCTGTGCCTCCATGGACAGCTGTGAGTCCAAAATGACTCCCAGGCTGCGCACCTGGTCCTTCAGGGGCACAGTTACCCCATTCAGGACCAGGGAGTCCTCCACTCCCACCCGCCCCCTGTAGAGTCTCATGCTCGACCATCTGAGCGATCCTGAAGAGGGAGATTGGCACTGAGTGGTGGGTGCCCTCACAAGGGAAGCTGAGGCCTTGTCCGGCACGTGGTGCCACTGGGAATTGAGGACCGCCTGCCTAGTGACCACCCTGGCATCTGCCAAGCCCTGGCTCCTCCTTGGCACCCTATTGCTGAAGCCGTCTCTCTCTCAGGCCTGGCAGCCTCTGCCCTCCTCCTCCTCGCTGGGGGCTCCCCAGGCGGCACTTGAGACCCGGATTGCAGCGCTTAGCCAGCCCCCCGCTAAGGAGCCCCCGCCAGCCAGGCAGCGCTCCTGCTTTGCATTAGTCGGCCCTGATCAAATCAGCCCCATTAGCCTGGCTCCAGGCAGCAGAGCTGGCAGTGCCACAGGGCGTGGGGAGGGGGTCTGTCTCATCTCTCCTCCCCACTCCCTGGCCCAACTCAGCCCTGGGGGAGGGGGCTGCTCCTCTCCCTCCCTCCAGACCCAAGCAGAGTCGCTCTGCCCGCCTCTCCCCCAACCCAGGGCTTTCTCTTGCCATCCTCCAGTGCCCTCCAAGGCAACACTTGGGGGCACGTTCCTCTTCAGCCTCCATGCCAATGTGAAGATGGAGCCACTGGAGATCACCAAGGAAATCTTCTTAATTTAATTAAGCATCTTTTTAGGCTGCCTTTCTGGGCAAATGCCAACCCAAAGCTGTATGAAATAAATGCCCATCCGAAGTGCCATAAAATAAAAGACAAAACAGCATCAAATTTAAAAAGGGCCAAACAATTGAGTAAAAAGTTGTATCTATCTTAAAAAAATACCAAAGTGGTTTGCAGTAATATCTTTATATTTAAAAAAGCACATACTAATTTAAAATCAGAGAAGATCAGCTATTGTGGAACGATGTTTTCTTAATTGCCTCTACAATCCTGGCAGCGTAGAAAAGATTTCAGAAGGTGCTTCAAGGTTGAGACAGAAGGCTGGATCTCCTCTGGCAGAGCTTTCCACAGTAACAGGGCTCAGGACGACCCTAAATGCTCTATTTCATGTTGAAATGAAATGAAATTTATTACGGTCCCAGACCAGCTTCACATACTGTACCAAGCGAACATAAAACACAATAGAATTAAGTTTGAATTAACAATCAAATGTAACAATAAACAATACGAATACGACAGCCATTAGAAATGTGGTTCAGGTCTTGGTCTCTAAAATATGATCTAGAGTTTGCATCTGAGGCCTTAGTCTTTATAATAGCACAGCTTGTTCCCTGAGTTTTATGGCAGCCGCACAAAATTTGGCCACCCTTAGCGTGATCTCTGGATCCTTATCCTCCCTCAGGGATTTTTGATGTCACATGAGCCTCACCCTGCACACGACCCACAGGCCTGGAGGGCCAGCTGGGAAAGAGACCGTCTTCAGGGCCTTCAGGAAAGGCTGCCGTGCAGAGGGTTGGCATAGGTCCAGTAGCAGGGAGTTCCATAGCCCCAGGGGCCACCACAGAAGAGGACCTCTCTCTCATGGCCACCGACCTGACCAGCCCAGCAGAGGGTCGCACCAGCAGAGCCTCTGAAGCAGATAGCCCAGTGTGAGCAGCCCAGTAAATAGCTCGGAAGCAAATTGCTTAGGGCTGTAACAGTCAATGCTTGGAACTGGGCCTAGAAACAGACTCGTAACTCGTGCAGCTGCTTTTTTCTAGGACAATAAAAATATATATTTGAATATATTGTGCAATTATTTTCCAGTTCCTGATTGCCTGACATGGCTTGGTTTGAAAGAGTTGGGCATTGAAGAACTCCGACTGAGAGCATCTTGTATTTATTGTGGGTTTAGAGAAGCCCTACCAGACATGGAGGGGGTATTGTTTTAAGTATTTATTTGTGCTTTTATTCTATATTTTTACCTTGTGAACCGCCCTGAGATTTTCGGATGAAGGGCAATGTCTAAATTGAATAAATAAATAGTAATAATAATTTATATGAAAATAAAGCAGAGGTTTGGTATTGGGGGGGGGGGAGAGAGAAAATGTCCGTCAGCCCAGCAAATGGCTCCTTGAACTGGTCTGGGCAGACTGTGAATGTCCGTTTAAAGGTGTTGGGTGTGTGTGTGTGTGTGTGTGTGTGGATGGGTTTGTTTTGTTCCTGCCCTTGTTTTTCTTATGTATCTTGTGTTCTTATTTTGCATTTCTATACTGTGAACCAACCTGAGATCTTCTTCAGGTGAAGGGTCGTCTTCTTCTTCGATCCCTCGTATCCGAGTCAGATTGTCTTCCATTAACACGGTTTTAACAATGAGTCCGTAAGTGACTGTGGAGGCCAATTCTGGATCCACATGTCCTTCCACAGTGGGGACATTGGTTTCCAGGCGGGAGTTGATCACAGTGAAGGTTTGCCTTCCTCTTAGCACATTTCTCCCTTGCGTTCTGAGTTCGAGTGTCTTCAAAGCCCAGGACACCTTTGGTCAAGGCTGTTCTCCAACTGGAGCGCTCGCAGGCCAGTGTTTCCCAGTTGTCGGTGTTTATACTACATTTTTAAAGATTTGCCTTGAAAGAGTCTTTGAACCTCTTTTGTTGACCACCAGCATTACGCTTTCCATTTTAAAGTTCAGAATAGAGTAGTTGCTTTGGAAGACGATCATCAGGCATCCGCACAACATGACCAGTCCAGCGAAGTTGATGTTGAAGAACCATTGCTTCAACACTGGTGATCTTTGCTTCTTCCAGTACACTAATACTAGTTCGCCTGTCTTCCCAAGTGATGTGTAAGATTTTTTGGAGACACTGTTGATGGCATCTTTCAAGGAGTTGGAAATAGCGTTTGTAAGTGGTCCATGATTCAGGGTTTTGTACTAACAAACTAACTAACTGGGACGCGGGTGGCGCTGTGGGTTAAACCACAGAGCCTAGGACTTGCCGATCAGAAGGTCAGCGGTTCGTATCCCCGCAATGGGGTGAGCTCCCGTTGCTCGGTCCCTGCTCTTGCCAGCCTAGCAGTTCGAAAGCACGTCAAAGTGCAAGCAGATAAATAGGTACCACTCCGGCGGGAAGGTAAACGGTGTTTCCGTGCACTGCTCTGGTTCGCCAGAAGCGGCTTAGTCATGCTGGCCACATGACCTGGAAGCTGTACACCGGCTCCCTCGGCCAATAAAGCGAGATGAGCGCCGCAAACTCAGAGTCGGCCACGTCTGGACCTAATTGTGATGGCCTGGTTTCTCTTGGGCATTGTCGGCCAATTGGTGACAAAGAGGGATAGAACTTTCTTTATG